AATTTAATAAATATTAATAATTTTTAAATATTTTTATTAAATAAAATATAAAAATACAAACCCACTAATCGGAATAAAAAATTGTACCCATTAATATGAATAAAATGTATATAATGAAGAGGTGTGAAATTATTATCACTCAGTAGCCGATATCAAATCTAACATGCTTTAATTAATTTATATATTACATCAACAACAAGAATTTTTTACTTGAAATAATATTTTTTATAAAAAAAATTTACCTAAAAAACATCTGTTCTAACTTATTTACACTACTAGCATCCTTTACTGTTGACGTTCAAAACGGGTCGTTCTGATATTAGAACGAGTCATTCCAGATGCAAAAATAACATATAACGAATGAATCAGAACGGACTATTCTAATATTAGAACGAGCCGTTCCAGATTCAAAATTAACACATGACCAATGGAACCAGAATGGATCGTTCAGAATCCGGAACGGGCCGTTTTGACGACTTCTGATGGGTCGACATATGGAACAATAGACGTGCACACATTAATGGGTCATCCAATGCAAGACCCATTGCTTCACACACGAGAATACATGGAATGGTACATGGCCAATTTCATCTATTTCATATTTATGCCACGACTACTATAATGCAAGCTCTGACATGAAGATTATTGGCTAATAATGACAAGCCTAGATAACCTGCACATCACACTAGGAAGACATATCCAAATAATGTATAGTTATAATAGTTTATAAGCGATATAGTGCATTAAAAGTAAAAATGCATATTAAAATTCATATTACATTGATAAAGAGACATAGTGCATTAAAAGTAAAAAATGATAACATTAAGATAGAGTGAATTATATAAGTTTTTTAATCTCCGTAATGGTGTTTAGTTTCACAACGAGAGCGACGTCTTTACGGCCTAGATTACGTTGTGGAGGTTGTTGCTAAGAAGAATTTGGTTCATCATCAAGCATTAGTTGTTGAAATGCTGCTGAAGAACTACCAGGTTCATTAGTGAATTTCGGTTGGTAAAGAGATTGCATGTATGATTGTGCTGAAGAAGGAGTTCTAAAATCTACTCCAAATAAATTTGTAAAAAAATTCTCTGAAGTTGTTGTAAACGAATGCCTTCATTATGTTTTCTTGTAAGGTGATGTTGTATGGAGGATTTGATACATGTTGATGGGTCTCTTCATACAATCGCATGGAAGTTGCACCAGTTTCAAATGTTGTGAAAGTCCTTCTTTGTTAATGGGTCCTTGGATCTTGTAGTAGTCGTGGCATAGATAGGAAATAGATAGAATTGACCATGTACCATTTCATGTATTCTCGTGTGTGAAAGAATGGGTCTTGCATTGGATGACCCATAATGTGTGCTCACGTCTATTATTTCATATATTGACCCATCAGAAGTGGCCAGAACGGCCCGTTCCGGATTCAAAACGGCTCGTTCTAGTTTCACTGTTCATGTGTTAATTTTGAATCTAAAACGACCCGTTCTGATCTATTCGTCATGTGTTATTTTTGTATCTAGAATCGTCCATTCTGAATGTGAACAGTAAAGGGTGCTAATGGTATAAATAAATTGGAAGAGATACTTTTTAAGTAATTTTTTTTAAAAAAATATTATTTCAGTAAAAAATTCCAACAACAACGTTCAACCATAATTCAACCATATTTAACTGAAAGTAAAAATTCAACCAATCCATGTGTAAGTGTAGCAGCCCTATTTTATTTTATTTTTTTTTCTCTTTATGTGAGAACAAATTAATTTAAAGGACGATCATCAATCATATCAAATGTTAAATACTGTGTCGGTGAAAAACATCCTTTAATCTCCAAAAAGGCAAAAAGAAATCCTTAATTGTCCTTCCAACCTTGCCTAGTGAGAGCATATTCAATAATACTACAGTACAATTTACTTTTGAGATTTTAATACACTTTTTTGGTGAGTCCTTCAATATATTATATAAAATTTAAGAATTATTCTTTATATTTTAATAAAAAAAATCTTCACTAGAATCTTTCATTCGCTTCATATACACTCCACAATAAACTCATTTTCTTTAATTTAAAATTATATTTATTAAAAATATTTTTTTTATTAGTAAAAACTCATTCATAAAAAAGTCTTTATACAAGAACAATTTTTAAACCGTGTTATTCACTTCAAAATATTCCGACACTAAAAACTTTCAACAAATAAAATATTTATTTTATGTATAAAAACTCAATTAAGAATTTACCCTTAAATATCACTTAATGAATTGATTAAAATTCTGAGTAATATTGTTATCAAAATATAAATGCAAAATTGGGAACCGCAATGTGGCATCACTATTATTGTTATTGATTGATATGTTTATGGACCTTTTCCTCACTTTTTAGTTTGTGCCCATGTGTGATAGGACTCATCATCCTTGATGAATTTGTTGAATGTGACATGCACTAATTCATATGTTATAAATGGGGACAATGGTATTGTCATATGTGAAAAAAGGCACTAGACCTTTTGGTGTCCGTACAAGGTAGGTAATCACATTATCTAATGCTACCCTTATGTTCTTTTATCATCTTTATGATTTTTTGGGACATAGTTTTGGCCACCATTAATTGAATGACCAATTGAATTTGCTGAATTCTTCTAATCTGACGGTGTTAATTATCAATCATATAACCTGCTCCCTACTATACTATATGTGTTTAGAGTGTTTGGGCCAATAATCCACCCAAGTGTGAGCTGGGTTTTAAATTTCATTATTCTATCCAAAGAATTGGAGAATGATAAAAGAAAGTGACATTTTTTTTTAATTTGGAATACTTTCTAAGCAAAAGTTAGAGATTAGTATCTTGAAATATTAAAATCTATTTAAGAGGGTCACTTTTGCATTGAAGAAAAAATAATGACTTCATTACAAGTTAGTTATTAGTTCCTATCATTAATTGGCATCATTCTCCTCTTCTAAAAGGTGGAGTACTAACAAATCACAATCAAATTTTCACAAAAAAATAAAATAAAATCACTGTCTAAATTAAAATCCAGTATTATAACAAGGAACCTAATAATAAATTCTATACTAATACTATAAAGCGTGAAATTTGCAAAAGGTTGTTACTTATTTTGTTCTACACGTAATAATTATGTGAAACTAGACCAACTTTCACGTTAAGTAAATGTGAAAGATGGTACACTCTTAAAAATGTATCAGAAAAATAGGTTATAAAGGCTTTTACTCTTGGCAAATATTTTGAAATTTGATTTTAATCTATAAAAGTTGTTTGTATTAGGTTTGAGCCATTCCTGTTTGTTAAAAAGTTGAGGAATGATTTTGATTCTAATCATCGAATGATTCCTATTAAGTGTTAATTTGACTAATGGTGATTTTAACTTGGTGGTTCTGTGGGTATCTAAATATGTTTTTATATATATGTAAATATATTGAAATTTGATTTTGGGCCCTAGAAATATTTTGTTTGATTTTAATTCATGTTTTTTTCAAAGTGAATTGTTTTAATCTCTGATGTTAAGTGATTTAACTTGTTGATGCTAAGTTAACTAATTGCGATTCAAGTTATCATTATCATATGTATCTACCACGTCAATAATTGGTAGTGGCTAAAGGAAATGCAAATTTAAAAAAGAAAAAAACAAACAAAATAATGCTCAACATGAGGGTAGGAAAGGCATAAAAGATGGACTTGCAAACAGTTTATTTATTTATTTCTAAAAAATAAGTTGCTTCCTTGAATTTGAAATTTTAAAGCTCAGAAATTCTTTTTCAATTTTTTTTCTTCTCAAGTTAATTTACTTCATAAAAGTTGATTCTGTTATCCAAACAAAATTAAATATCTCAATCACTTATCAACAAATTTACTTAAACAAAAATTTATTCTAATTATAATCAATTATTGAAATAATCTAATATTCATAACTTTTCCAAACACATGAATAACAAGATTAAAATCATTCTCGCTCTTTAAAGAATCGATATTCAGATCAAATTTTAAAACATTTAAGGGTTCAAACATATTTAGACAATGATTAGATATGAAAAAATAGTTTATGTATTATTGGATAAGATTGTTATTTTTTATAATAATTTAAAAAATCATACATATTATAATTTATGATTTGTTGATGGTATAAAACATTTTGTACTAACAATGCATAGTCATTCTACTCTTAAGATATATGTGACAACACAAAATTGGGTATTATTAGCAAACTCAACACTAAAGGAAAATCACTAAATAAGGACACAACATTTACTTTCAAAAACAAGTAAAGACCCAACAAAACTTTTTTTTTTTTCGTTTAGTGTAGTAACAGTAAAGTTTGAACTTAAGACTCCATACAAACTACCAAACCCCTTCCAAAACCTAAGAAATGTTTGTAACTACTAATACTCTTTAACATATTTTAAACACTTTATTATTAATTAAAATTTATTAAAATCACATAACTATATAAGTCCAACTCCATATTTAATAAATTATCACTTCTAATTTTGGAACATACAATAAATTTTAATTGATAATAGGCTTTTAAAAAGAGTACATTAGAGAATATATTATCAACATTCTTCCAACCTATACCTGGAATTCCACCAGTTTAATGTCAAGTTTGGGAATCAGCCTATGACCCATTTTTGCTAGAAGGAGATAAATAAAGCAGGCTCTATCATATCATTAAAAGTGGAATAATCACATTTGGTTTAAGATCCATGGACTTGCACGGTCACAAGGTTTCAGTTTCAAGCCCAATTAAAACCAATCCAGCCCAGGCGTGAGGACTAGTGATCAAGTCTGAGAGTCAACGAAGAATTGAAATTCCAAACTTATCTTGCTATAAAATTCATTGTGAACACAACCAGATTGTTTTGTAAGATCAAGGAAATGCTAGTGCCCAGCCTATCCTTTGCTGCATTAAGGACCCAAACAGCTTTTTGTTGCTATATAAATTGAAGTTTGAAATTCAACCCTAATACACCAAAAAGGATCTTCTAAACAGAGTCTGTTCAACAGCAGTGAAGAACTAAATAATCTTTTATCAGAATAATTTGAGTATGCTAATTTCAAAATCACTTCTTAAAATACCAATACAGCAAACACGGATCAAAAGTATGCAAATACAAAATAATAACAAATATCCTATCAGGAGGTGTTAGATAGCAATTTTTGACATCACTGCACCAAAGAGACTGACAGACAAGTAAATGACCCCCAAAAAGGACTCAAAAGGTGATCCATCTTCTACCTTTTCCGCTTCCTAAGCCTTAAATCAGGAAATTTAAGAGGGACAGGAAGCGTGGCAAAGAAGCAGTTACTCTGGCGGGAAATTTTGCAACCCAATTGCTCATAGAGTTGTCTCACAGACATCGCGCTCATGCTCAGATCCTTTGCTATATCTGTGTAGTCAGTTCGGAACTCGTCAGAGAAAAGCGTAAGCACCAAGACATAACAAATGAGAAGACTAATCTTTTCAGGGGGAAGCCTTTTTGATTCAGAAACAGCAAACATGGTTGAAAATTTATGACGCAGAATGTTGGGGATTTTATGGGTCTTGGCAGAGGAAGCGTTAAAAGAAAACTGATCTTTGAACTTTATAAGATGATTGATGTATGAGAACATGCAGGAAAGCTTCCTCTTTTCCGACTCATCCTGTAAACATAAAAAATAGATTATGGATATGATAATTTAATTGGAAGAAAACAAATATCAGAACATGCAGTGTATTTGAAAAAAAAAAAAAAGGATTTGGTACTGAAATAATAAACTTCTCAAAACAAGCACTTGTAGAAAAAGAAAATAAAGAGGCAAAATAAATCAAACTTTTCTCAAAAGTTAAAATCAACTTATGTACCTTGACTTTTTTTTATTCAGAATTTCTCCCATCTTACTTATCTCAAGGTTGAACTTGATTTTAATATATGGAAGAAGTTAGATTCATTTTACCTCCCTATTTCTTCTCCTATAAGTATTGACAAGTTTGTCCGAACTAGGTCAAAGTATAAATGCATTTAGGTTATCTACCACAGTAGCATTGGGGTAATCATATTATCTAATTGACCACCTTCATCAAGCAAGTTCAAAAAAAATTGCTTACATAATCCCCTAACTAAGAATTCTAGAAATAGAACACTAAGTGTAGGGACCAAGAGTTTGTTTAAATAATTTTCTTATAAATACTTCTAGAATAAATAAATGGGAAGACAAAATATAATATAATTTTTCATAATTTTATTTTATTTTCTGTCGACCAATAGGCGCAAATATTCAAAACAATATTCGACAAGTTCAAAAGATAAATATAGAGGTACCAAAAGAGAAATAATAGGATCATGTGCCATAGACAAACCATATTTGGCAAAAGAATATGTAATTTTGTTGCATTCATGTAACACACTTGATTGAAGCTTTCATTGGATGAGCAGTGGTTTTTTTGATAGTCCGAACAATGTGTTAGGGATGATTGTCAAGACAACCATCTTCTATAAGTTTCACTATTTCAATCTATGAAGCATGGACACGCCTTTGTGTCTTTGGGTCAGAAAATAATCTTGTTGGAAAAGAAGAAGAAGAAGAAGAGAAGCGTTCTCTTTTCTCTTTTTACTTAAACCTTCATGGAAGCGAACAAAAACCAAAGAACAAAAACATGCAGTGGTAATACAAAAATCAGAATGCATATGATAGAACAAACCAGACACTCGCAGACCTAGAATGAAAACTAGAAACGCAAACGCGCAAACACATAACAAGAACTAAGAGGTGCATACATTGAAGGAGAACTAGAGATGCGCAAACACGTAATGAAAACCAAAGATGTGCAAACACATAACGAAAACATTAAACTAGAATGTCTTTATGCCAAAGAACCAGAGCACTGTTCAATCGAAGAATTAGAACGTTGTCTCAAATTAAAATACTAGTTGGTACTTATTTAATAAGTTAGTAAAATTAGTTGTTCAACCAAATAAAATAAGTATATGTATGACCATTATATATATATATTTTTAAGGTAAAAATAGAATTTTATGTTTAAATTTTTTCACTAATTTTTAATTCTTATTGCTCTTTATTAAAAAATAATTATTTATTAAAAAATCAAAATAGTGTAATAGTTAAAATATAAATCAACAAAATGTATAAATTTTGCTTGTACAAAGACTAACGCATGTAATTTTAGTTATAATGACTAAAATATAAATATTGTGCATGTATAAGAATTAAAATAAAACAAAATAGAACACTAAGTGTAGGGACCAAGAGTTTGTTTAAATAATTTTCTTATAAATACTTCTAGAATAAATAAATGGGAAGACAAAATATAATATAATTTTTCATAATTTTATTTTATTTTCTGTCGACCAATAGGCGCAAATATTCAAAACAATATTCGACAAGTTCAAAAGATAAATATAGAGGTACCAAAAGAGAAATAATAGGATCATGTGCCATAGACAAACCATATTTGGCAAAAGAATATGTAATTTTGTTGCATTCATGTAACACACTTGATTGAAGCTTTCATTGGATGAGCAGTGGTTTTTTTGATAGTCCGAACAATGTGTTAGGGATGATTGTCAAGACAACCATCTTCTATAAGTTTCACTATTTCAATCTATGAAGCATGGACACGCCTTTGTGTCTTTGGGTCAGAAAATAATCTTGTTGGAAAAGAAGAAGAAGAAGAAGAGAAGCGTTCTCTTTTCTCTTTTTACTTAAACCTTCATGGAAGCGAACAAAAACCAAAGAACAAAAACATGCAGTGGTAATACAAAAATCAGAATGCATATGATAGAACAAACCAGACACTCGCAGACCTAGAATGAAAACTAGAAACGCAAACGCGCAAACACATAACAAGAACTAAGAGGTGCATACATTGAAGGAGAACTAGAGATGCGCAAACACGTAATGAAAACCAAAGATGTGCAAACACATAACGAAAACATTAAACTAGAATGTCTTTATGCCAAAGAACCAGAGCACTGTTCAATCGAAGAATTAGAACGTTGTTCAACCTCTAGCAAGTGGAACTACTACACCGATTTTAATTATCAAAATATTGATTACTTGATAATACAATTAATTTTCTTAAATTAATATTAAACATATATCAGCTCCATAATAAAAGTAAATCTTTTTAGATGATTTTCTTACACCGGTCTAAATGCTATGCTATACTCTAACAGTACAACAACAACAAAAGACTTATCCCACTAGGTGAGGTTGGCTACATGGATCACACAATGTCATTGTGTTTGATTTAAACTCGCACACATAATCTGTCAAAAGTACCATGCATGGGGTTTTGACAAGTTCTATGTTGGTTGACAAGAGTCTAACACAACCATCCTCCTTTCCTAGGCTTGGGAATGGCTATGGCTGAGATTAAAGATACTCTAACAGTGATCACTACAAATTTTTAGAATCATTTTATTATAAATGTTACTGTTATATGTAATTGTATTCTCTTCTCAATGCATTTAATAAAAATAAAAATAAAAATAAAAATAAAAATAGAGAACAGTAAAAGGGAAAAAAAAACTCATACAAAATAGCAAATATCTCTAACAAGCTTTAGTACATAGATAACAAAACAAACTCTCTTTCGAACAATCAGGCCTGACTAAATAAAAATACTACTCTTCTTAGGTTAAGGCTTGATTGGTTGAGCCAAAAATCGGTGGGTGGAAATTTTGAAATAAACTCTTGCTTTGGTACAACAGATATGTGGGGCAGTTGAAAGTGGAATTCGACCATTTTTCACCCTCTACCCAAAATGCAATAATGAGTGAAAATTAAAATATAAAAAAAAGTCCATCTCATTACAGCTTTGCTCCCCAACCAATTTCCCACTGGCCACCTTCCCTTCCAAGCTTACCCAAAGCAAATGGGGTAAACAAATTAAGAGATTTTATGTTAACGTATTCCCACAAACCATCCCCTTTAAGACCTATCATCATCAAACTATCGGTGTCTTACCATTGCAAATCTGTACTTTCTGTACAAAGTCAAATATTAATATCAACTTTTCACCTTGAATTCAGGTTCTGTAGCTGATGATAGCACAACTAGCAAAAGGGTTAAATATGAGTCAGAAGATACCTTCTCCATATCCCTCTTTGTTCCCCATATAGCAGTAGTCTCTGCTAACTTCTGCTGTGGAGTCATCTCTTCCAACGTCGAATGAGCAGGCTCACTGTCAGCAGCTCCCATACCTTTAACCTTTGGCTCCAATCTGAATATCTGAACATCACCAACCAATTAGCACAACACACTGAATTATTCAACAGCAAGGTAAATGAAATCTCTCTCCCCCTTCACAATTTACCTTATTACCAGCAATAGGCACAATCTTCAGGGTCTGAGCTTCCTTGTCAAGAACCCCAATCGCATACATGGCCCGGTGTCCGGCCGTAGCCTCGCCAGCATAACTGGTTCCGACGAATTCCACCGCAGAACCGGCAGGGCTAACCACAAGCTGCATCCTCTTGGGCAGGTTCCGGTGCCGGTAAACTTGAAAATCGGGGGCACCACCATGATCCTTGAGTGGATCAAAGCCGGAAGGGAAATAACCAACAACAGGAGGGGTTTTATTGGGGTGCTCATGGACAACCTCGACATCCACCTCAATTTGATCAGTTTGAGGTGGAACATCCTTTTTCTTCTTGCTCTTCTTGTGTTTCTCCTTCTTGGGCAATTTGGACATTCTGTCCTCAGTATCCGAATCCATTACACTGTGTCCAATTGAAGAATTTGAGAAATCACAGCAAAAATAAAAAATAAAAATTAGCAGAGCTAATTGCCAAGTGTTCTTCAATCCTCATACATTCTAATCACAAACACAATGTAATTGACAAGTATTGAGATGGAACATACATAACCCTATCATCGGCTATTCAAAAACATGAATAAAATACACACAAAAACTTGAAAAAAAGGCGCAAGTATGAGAAAGTATCAAACCATAAACCAATCAGAAAATGAAAGCACAAGTATTGGTGGAAAGCGCAACCTCAACGTTAAGATACCAGCGATGAAGATGTGAGGGTGACGTCTGTTACCGAACGAATAAAACCCTAAACCTCGACTGAACAGTAACACAGGGCTGAACTATGTTTTGAAGTCGCACGTGTGTATAGCACGGTGACACTTTTAAGTATATACTTTTTATATTTATATTTTATACTCTATTCAATCATACCACATTTTATATCCACAATTTGTTTAATTTTTATCTTTTAATTAATTTAATTAAAAAAATACTTAAATGAATAAAAAAATATTCATTAATTAACTATAAAAAAATTGCTATTTGAAGACATAACATACCTTTTATCCTATTGATATTAAATAAAAATATGAAGAGATGAAATACTTTTAAGAGCTTTTTTTGAATTTTTTCTTTTTTATTTTTATTATTATGAGTATTTTAAGTATGTGTAATACATTCTTCAACTCTTATATACTAAATATGAATTTTTATTTTATAGCAAAATATTTTTAGAAATTTTTTTCAATGAGAGAATTTGTGTAAATTTTTTTAATTTTTTTTTATTTAATTTAATTTTTATTTATCATAATTATTTGTTAATTAAATATTAATATTTTCAAATAAATTATCAATAAGTAAAAAATAATTTTACAATATAAGTTATTTATCATAAATCAAAAATATAATTTATAAGTTTAAAAATATTTATGCATACTTATTTTAAATATAATTTATATATTTAAATATAATATTTTTAT